TCCAGAAGCACTAATCCTTTTCAGAATTAACTCTGAACGATCACGTGTGCGTTGGGGAGGAGGATTCTCAATTTCTATTATTCCGCACGCGGAAAACATGCTCACTGATTACAGCCCTGTCTTGAGATTCTCAAATTCACTCACCAGCAGAAATGGTTTCTGATCCCACCCTAACAGCACCCTTTCACATCCAACTCCAAGAGCTACTGGTGTTGTAACAAGGGTTAAAACTTTCAACAGCTCAGATAAACCCTTCGTCTGAAGTGACATAAATGACACACTGAGCTCAGTTCATTCGGGCAGTGCGATATAGTGCAGTCAAACAGCAGGGCAGAGGTGAGCCATTGCAAGGAGAGATGTCACAGAAGTGTTGACCCAACTGAACAAGATTTCAAAGCTACTCAGTCGGTTCTGTGCTGCTGCCACTTTCAAAGGTAATTTCATAGTGAAAAAGACAATGATAATTATCTCTCAGCGCTGAAACACTTAGTATTTAAACCTCTGGATTCACCAATGCTGAAGCTTCCTCTTTCATTAACTGGGAGGAAACACAGACAGATTAGCCCCCCTACATAGATATTCTTTGATCAGTGTCACATTGTGTTCAGTACCACCTCCAGTGTAGCTGAGAACACAACTCACTGTGGAAATGCAGGTTCAAAATAGGTGACATGACTTCAGAATTCAGGTTCCTACAAAGCTGAAACTGAATCACCAACATTGCTAAATGTGTATCAAAACATGGGATGCTCCCGCCCATCATTTTCAGCATGAAACTACTCTCAAACCCTGCTTACTGTGCTTGTACAAATATATTGGTGTCAGCCTTTTTATCCATGGGTGTCATACTTACTTTGGGAGTCAAAAGGTCGCATGTTCAAGCCCCCTAACCCTATTCTGCATCAGAAGAAAATGAGGTCAGTCTTGTTAGTGTGTCAGAGGCTGAGAAGGACCTGGTAGAGGGATATAATTTTATGAGGCACATGGATAGGCTGGATCATTGGAGTTCTTTGCCCGGGGTGGAAATGTCAAATACCTGGGGACATAGATTTAAGGCAGGAGTCGCAAAGTTTAAACAAGATGTGCAAGGCAAGTTTTTTTTACACAATCGATATCTGGAACATGCTGCCAGGGGAGGTTGTAGAAGCAAATACAATAGTAACATTTAAGTGGCATTTCTAGGTGGCATGGTGGCTCAGTGCTTAGCATTGCTGCTCCACAGTACTAGGGAGCTGGGTTCAATTCCAACCTTAGATGACTGTCTGTGTGGAGTTTGCATATTCCATCCATGTTTGTATGGGTATCTTCTGGTTTCCTCCCACAGTTGAAAGATGTACACATTAGGTGAATTGGGCATGCCACATTACCTACAATGTGTAGGTGAGGTGGATTAGCCTTGGGAAATGCAGGTTTACTAGGAATTGGGTCTGGGTGGGATGCTTTTTGGAGGATAGATATGGGCTGAATGGCCTGCTTCCACACTGTAGATATTCAATGATTCTTAACAGGCAGGGAATAGAGGGATACAGACTATGTACAGGTAGATGGAATTAATTTACAATGGCATCATGATGGGCCGAAAGGCCTGTTCCTGTGCTCTGCTGTTCAACGTTTTATGTTCTCCTCAAATACTTTATAACCAGTGAACAAACCAATTATTCATCTCATTGAACCAGCCTAGATAGATCTTGAAGTGAAAGACAATATAATGATTCCTAGCACTGTACCCCTCCCCCCACCCCCACTCTTTAACTTTCCATTTCTGTCCATGAATGTGAGAGGGAGCAGAATTAAGATCTTCTTTCTCTTGTGTTGGTTCTATCCAAAGATGAGCCAAAAATGAGGATCATTGTTTCCGTACCAAGTCTTCACATTTGGGAGTCATTCAAGCAGAACAAAAATGTGGTTTTTTCCAACAAAAATACTTCCAGGACAAAAGTACAGTGCAAGTGTAAAAGCCAGCTTCTTACTGCAGTCAAACTTCAACTCCTTGTAAAACAGGTTAATTCAAACAGTTTTAATCGAGAATTGACAGTTGATCGCTTTGGTTGAGAGCAAGACTCAGACAGTAACTGAAAATATCAGTAATAAGCCAAAACTGAAAGGGGCTGTGGAATATTAGACAATAGTTCTGTACACACAGCTAGGCATTTACAAAACCTCAGACACCTTCTCTGGTTTATGACGTACATAACTGTAGACACTGTTTGCTTCCTCACACTGCTCTTTTGCTGTGTAAACTGCTTTAAGCTTCCAGCCAGCTCGAGGCCCCTGGCTTTAGCCACTGAAGAAAAGCTAATCACAGC